AATCATTACCAGAACATTGTTTAGGAGCAGTAACTCTTGGATTTAAATATGTAGATATAGTTGTAGATATGTAATATTTATTTACATCAGCAAAATTACTACAGTGTTTTTCCAACATATGGCTTATTGGTTAAAATCTGTTAAAAATAACAGTAAATTAATAACAAAAATAACTTGTTAATTTAATTGTAAACAAATCTTGGTTAAAAGCATTTTAAAATTAACAGGGTATTAATTTTCACATGACATATAGATGGGAGATCAAAGGCAACTTTCAGTGTCTGCATTTATTAAAATTCATCTTCATAGGCAGTGATTTTCAACCTTTTTCATCTCATGGCACACACATACTAAAATTCTGCAGCACACCAAAAATAAAATATATTTTTTGCCAATCTGACAAAAAATAGGTGTAATTTTGATTCATTCACACTGTACAGCTATTGTGTTGGCTGTTGTCATTTTTATTTGACAATCTAAGGGAAAAGAGGTCAGTGCCCCTGACTAAACAATCAGGTAGTGCATGTTTTAAAAATTCTAGTGACACACCCATTGAAAAATCACTGTTCTAAGGCATCATTTAATCAATTTTCTTTTTTTGAGATGTCTACCTGTCTCCATGATTTCTCTATTATTGGTGGGGCCCAGGAATAGCAGCTATGTCTTCCAGAACCTTTAGATAGAATTCTTCTAGGCCCAGAAGTTTAAAATCAGTGCAAGCTAGATACCCTCTTACTATCTATTATCTACTTTCTTATTCCTTTTTAGGGGTCTTTTAACTTATAGAACATCCTCTTGTATAGAAGTTAGGAGATAAAAAGAAGACATGCTACGTGTTCCCCATTAATTATTATTTCAACTTTCCTAAGCTGTGGATCTGTGGCTTCTTTCTTCTAGATGTGAATTTATCTCTCAGAATCATCTACGTTATCATTAGTTTTCCTACTTCTAAGCATCAATCATTCTAAAGATCCTACTCATCCTCTGACAATATCCAAAGAGGTTTTTGACGCTCTTTTCTACTTGACACTTACTACGTATTTCTCCTTCTGACTTAAGTTCTATTCATTAACAAAAAACAAACAAACAAAAAGTAAAAACCAAAAACTAAGCCCCAGTAGGAATAGCTAAGGGCATGTGGAAGTGTGGTTGGAAAGGGAGGTGTGAGATGAGATGGAAGGGGGGGCTTTAGTGCCATCATAATTTCCACCTGCCACTACCCCCACCAAATTCTTTCATAGGGCCAATTACTGTCTTCTCAATCACTAAAAGTGCTATGTAAATACTGATACTACAATCCCCATTCTACCCTAGCCTCCTCCCCTAAAGAGGGCTTCCCAAGCTTTTCGTAACAAAAAGTTCTAAGGCATTTTTAGGCTTTTTATTTCTTTAGGTGGCATACTGTCAATTAGAATCTTACCAGTTTTAAGCCATTAGATTCTTACCAGTTTTCTAATATGTTTCCTAAAGTCTAGGACATACAACTCCTTAAAATCCAGAATTCCCTTTCTTGCTACGTTTTAATATAAACCCAAGAAAACAAGGTCCTTATCTGTAAATGTTCTTTCTAGAATTTACATATCACTATCTCCCCTTTTCTATTCATCCTAATTAAGTTCAAAATAGCAAATATTTTGTTGTTGGTGGTGTTCTCTTTAAAATTATAGTTGACATACAATATTAGATTAGTTTCAGGTATACAAGAGAGTACTTCAACATCTATACACTTTACAAAGTGATCACCACAAGTCTAATAACATTCTGTCACCGTACAAAGTTATTACTACATTATTGACTATATTCCCTATACTGTATATTACATCCCTGTGACTTATTTTATAACTGGAAATTTGAACCTCTTAATCCCCTTCACCTTTTTTGCCCAATCCCCCCAAACCCCTCCTCTCTGGCAACCATCAGTTTGTTCTGTTTCTATTAATCTGTTTGTTTTGTTTTGCTTGTTTGCTTTGTCCTTCAGATTCCACATATAAGTAAAATCACACACAGCATTTGTTCTTTTCTGTCTGAGTTATTTCACTTAGCATAATACCCTCTAGATATATCCACACTGTCACAAATGACAAAGTTTCATTCTTTCTTATGGCTGAATAATATTCCATTGTATATGCATATACCACATCTTCTTAACCCATTCATCTGTCAATGGACACCTAGGCTGCTTTCATATCTTGGCTATTGTAAATAATGCTGCGATGAACATTGGGGGGGGGGGGGCAT